GAAACAAGATTATACAATTTATAATTTACTTTATACTTGCAAAAACTAAAAATATAGGCGTCACGCATAACTGTAATGGTAATAAATATAAGATAAATAAATCAAGCAAAAAAAAGAAAATACCGGAGGCTTTCTTAGGTCGGTAACCACCAATGTTATATTCATCATCTTCTAAAATAGAAACGAGTTCACCCAACTGTCTTAACTTTTTGGGGGATTTTTTGTAAATGTAATGCATTTTTAAAATCATGTAATCAACGTCATTGAATGAGGCTGTTTTTCTTAATTTTTCTTTTAATGATAACTCGAGACGATGTGCTACACACCAGCCAAACGTGATCCAGGGGACTTCAGCCTTGAGCAACATTTTAACGCCCGACTTGCTCCCTCTGTTAACGGATGCGCCATCCCCACCAAATCCAACTAGTTTTTTATTGCAATTTACGACTTCTATATTCTCGAGTGACTTTTTTATGGTGTTGAAAACTCCGTGCGAAGTTCCATACTCAACATCCAAAAGTGAAAGAAAATCACATTCAACGTTTACTTCAGATTTTCCAGTTGGAGCCGGACTAAAAGTAATGGCAAATATAGCTTCTTTTTCCTTAATTGAAACGTCATTAGAACCGTCAATTAAAATAGTGAAAAAATTTCGAGTGTTTAGTTTATTTTTGAGATCTATCGCTAAACTAAGAGCAATGTAGTCAATAAATACTCCGCATGTGTTTTCGTTTTTATAAGCCTGACCAAAAACTACACCATGTTTCTCTTCTAATTGAATTATTTTTGGGTATAGGCAAAGCGATAGTTCTTCTTTTGCTATAAAGTAAGCGACCTCAAATTTTTTTTTTGTCAAATCCAAGTCTTTACTATTCATGGTTTGAATACCGGATAAAATGTCTGTTTGCCGCATTTTATTCCTTCTCGTCGGAAGCTTTTATTCCTTCTCGTCGGTTTCAAGTCAAGCCTCATTCTACTCCATGGTTTTCTCCTTCTTGTGCGGCTGCTATATCCAATCGTAACCATTTTTTTCATCTTTTTCAAAAGAACAACTCTCTTGAGAACAAACGGCTATTTATTATTGCAAGAAATCGATGTCAAAAGGTGCTTTCTGATGCTAAACTCCATTATTCTCAGTTCACTAAATCTCGCATCTTATCGCAGAAGTTAGGCTCTAAAGACTTTTGGAAAATCTTCAACAGCATTGTTAACAAGGGTAGATCTAACATTCCATCTCTCATTCATGGGACTGATCTTGTTACCTCTCCCAGGGATAAGGCAGAACTGTTTGCAAAGAACTTTTCTTCTAATTCCACTCTAGAATCTTATGGACATTCTCTTCCTTCCATTCCAGTCAAACAGGTTGACCCATTGTTAGACATTCAAATCACTCCGGCTTCTGTTGCTAAAGTCATATCTCAATTAAACTCGTCTACAGCTTGTGGTCCAGACAACATTCCTGTCACAGTCTTGCAGAATTGTTCTCCAGAACTTTCTTCAATTCTCTCTAAACTATTTAACAAGTGTTTGACTGAGTCTTGTTTTCCTGCTTGTTGGAAAATGGCATCTGTGGTTCCAATATTCAAAAACTCTGGAGAAAATTCTGACCCCTCCAATTATCGTCCGATCAGTTTTCGTTCTGTTATTTGCAAGGTCTTTGAGTCTTTAATCAACAAATTCCTCACATCTCATCTTGAGTCAAATAAACTGCTGTCAGACAATCAATACGGTTTTCGATCCTCTCGCTCTACGGCCAACTTGTTAACTGTTGTAACTGAAAGATTTTATCGTGCATTAGATGGAGGTGGTGAGGCTAGGGCTATTGCTCTCGACATATCTAAAGCTTTCGACAAAGTTTGGCATGCTGGTCTTCTCCATAAGCTTGCTTCATATGGTGTTTCTGGGAAAGTTTTTGAGATTATCAAATCATTTCTTTCTGACCGGTTTATTAAAGTCATCCTTGAAGGCCAACACTCTTCTTTATTTCCAGTAACTTCTGGGGTTCCCCAAGGTTCCATCCTGGGCCCTGTTTTGTTTCTTATCTACATAAACGATCTTCCTGACAACCTTTCATCTAAAGTAGCTCTTTTTGCTGATGACTCAACTTTATACTCCTGTCTTGACAAAAAGTCTTCTCTTTTCGATCGCCTAGAACAAGCAGCTGATCTTGAATCTGATCTCACTTCAGTAATAGATTGGGGTTCACAGTGGCTTGTGAATTTCAACTCTAAAAAAACCCAATTGCTTACTGCAAACAACTACCGTAATATGGTCAACATTCCTATATTAATGAATGGCAATCCTCTTACTGAGTCGTCCTCTTTATGTCTTCTTGGATTATCGCTTACTACTGACCTTTCATGGAAACCATATATACAATCGATTGCTAAATTAGCTTCTGCTAAGGTTGCTTCTCTTTATCGTGCTCGCCATTTCCTTACTTCTGATTCCATTCTCTACCTCTACAAATCTCTTATTCGTCCCTGTATGGAATACTGTTGTCATATTTGGGCTGGTTCTTCTAACGATTCACTTTCTCTTCTTGACAAGGTCCAAAAACGCATTGTAAATGTTGTTGGACCTGGACTATCTGCTAAGCTTGAACCTCTTTCCCATCGTCGTAAAGTTGCATCTCTTTCTCTTTTCTACAGATACTATCATGGTCACTGCTCAAAGGAGTTATCATCTCTAGTTCCATCAACTAAAATTCATTCTCGTTTTACTCGTCATTCAGCTAAGTCTCATTCGTTTTCTGTATCTGTCCCTGCATGCTCTAAAAACTTTTATTCATCTAGTTTTTTCCCCCGCACTCCAATTTTTTGGAACTCTCTCCCATCTTCATGTTTTCCTGACTCATACAACCTTCAACTTTTTAAGTCTTCTGTCAACCGTTTCCTTGCTCTATAACTCTGTTCTTTTTTTTTCCTAGTAACTCCCAACTTAATAGTGGTTGCTTGCAGCCTTGTTGGGAGTGAATGCAAATAAAAAAAAAAAAAAAAAATTTTCCTGCTGCAACTCGTTTAGTTTTTCAATTCGATCGCACAAATTTATGCCTCTCGTTTTCATAAAAATCTCAAAAGCCTTCTGATGAGACATTCCCTCTGCATGCGTGATTGCAGAACTATGTTGCAATCTACTACATCCTTTTCCACAGCTCCATTCCGGAGTGTAGCCTTTTAAAATCTGAATTTGCGATGCATATTCTCGGCATACTTTGCATTTTAGCGCTGTAACTATTCCGTCAACGCTTTCAATTTCAAGCCAATCATAAGCATTATATTTTGCAAGCGTAGAGACTTTCCATTTATTAGCTGTTTGTAATTGTAGCTTTCTGTCATAAGTTTTTAGTTTTTTCTCAGCAGGTGTTCCAGATACTAAGTTTCTTTTAAAAGAAATAAATGTTTGACGCTTTTTGTATGCTTCCATTTTAAGATTATTTTTAAACTTACCATTTAATTTCTAAAACTTTAAAACAAAAACTGTTTCTTTCAATTTAAATTGTCACAATGATTTCAAAATGAAGTTTTCCAACGAATCACAAACTGGCTTTGTTCATTATTTTTCAGACAATCAAAGAAATGTTAACCTTTCTAGTTATTAATTCATTTTATTCAAATGAATTCGCTTTATTAAAATAATTCTTTTACAGTTAATAAACTTTCGAACTGAAGACTGTTACGAAATCAACGCTATGTTTATTCCACCAATCAAAAGCATTTTTAATGTGAACTAAAAGATTATTATTGGTCTGAAAACTTGTTTAATTCAGCAATAATGAACATATTTTTTTTAATGCTAATTTAATAAATTTAAGATTCTTTTTTAAATGTTAAAAAAATTTTTATTCTAATGTGTGACATGCAATGTAGACGATCAAATTTGATCGTCCATAATTAATTTTGGGGGTTCAAAATTTCATTTTTTCCAAAAGTCGACGATCATTGATCGTTGATCGGCCGTTATTTCGAGCGCTGATAAGGGCATACTAGCAATATATATTTTTTTGACATAACAAACAAACAATGTAAGGCTTGATTACTACATAATATACAAATGCTTAATTAAGTAAATAATCTTGATAGATTGCTTATTTTTTTGAGCATTCGAAGTCTGATATTAAATTTGCATGGTATGATGCATTAATATATTTACATTATCAAAATTAAAATGGTAACTTTTTAATAGGATAAAATAGTTTTTATATATAATGAGAGTATCACAGTTGTTAGTACAACAAAGCAAAAAGTAAACATTTCCATACAGTATACCTAGATATATAACTAACTTAAAGCTAATTTAAATTTTGTATAAAAAATGTATATTTAATTGGTGTTTATACATCTAATTGTGTCTTTAATGGCCAAATACTAAAATTATACTAGAGAAAAGAAAAACTATTCCAAAATTTATGCCAAAAAAAACAACTAAAAATCTGTTAAAAAAAGCAATACAACACCAAAAAAAACAAAATAACATGTTTTTTTGACCCAAAAAAATGCCAAAGGAAATTTACGTATTTTTTTTCAACTCTAGGGACATGTGTATGTACATAAATGTATACTCACACATAAAAATATATATATGTGAATACACAAAACGATAGCGAGCAGAAGAATAATTTAAAATGTATTGATGCTGTAAGTTTTTATAGGTGAAACTCCATCTTCAGGGCCAAAGTGATGTTTTGGATTAAAAAAGGTGGCACATCGCTTATCAGGAATGTGTCATTGCAATAAAATAAAAAATAATTAAAAAATAAAAATAAAAATCTTTATGTCACATTGTATAAATCATTATTGCAATAAAGCAGGCCTCACTTCAATAAATCCAAACATCCAAACCTCTCACCAATTTGACTAAATTGTATTGTTTGCATATCTGTTTGCAGAAATTTATAGATATGTAATTAAAATTATAATTATGTTAATAATTTGCAGAAATTTATAGATATGTAATTAAAATTATAATTATGTTAATAATTAGGCGTTATTCTGTTTCAGGTCTCACTCCAAATGATGTTCAAGTTGTAGAACTGCATGATTGTTTTTCTACTAATGAGCTTATAACTTATGAAGGACTAGGACTTTGTCCTGAAGGTAAAACCTTTAAATAATATTCTTCACTAATGTCATGGAAAATATTTCTGTTGCTTATTTTTTGTTTGGAGTTTTACATTAATTTTTTGTACATAGAAAATAATCAATATTGTTGTTGTTTTTTTTTTCTTTTAAGGAAAAGGAGGTGAATTAGTAGATCAAGGTGATAATACATATGGTGGAAAATTTGTTGTTAATCCAAGTGGTGGGCTTATTTCTAAAGGTCATCCTCTAGGAGCTACAGGTATTCATTTAAAAACCCAGTTTTTGATGAATGGACTTTTTAAATAAGTTAAAGAGGTCCTCAAGTGCAGAGGCTTGTTGAGTTTTTTTTATAAATAAAGATTATAATTAAACTTATCAAGATAATTTCACTTAAACATTTAATAGTAAAGTTTTAAACTATTAACAAATAAAAACTTCTCTATTCGATTAGTAATGTCTGTGCGAGTTGTTAGCTTTTTTAGTGTTGTATATGTGTAAAAATGACACTAGTTGCTTATGTTTTGTTTTTTATGTGGGTGGCGTTTTGGTATATTTTCAAAAAGTCAGAGAAAATGGTTCTTCATCAAACTTACATAAGTAGATTGTATATTGTACACATAATATAAACTTCTCTTCATAATTTAAATATTAATGTTTATACTTTTGCAATTGAAGAGTAGTTTTCTGAAAGAATCTGTTTAATTTTTCTAAAGTTGGGTTTAATAAATTTTTTTAAATTATTTTTGAAATTTTTATAAGATTTTACTTCTTTTGAGACCCAATCCTTTTTTGCTTTTAAATAACTTATTTTTTCAAAGTATTAGGGACCCGTCTGATGTTTAAGGGTTTTAGTGGTTGCAAAGTAAGGTATCCATATCAACCAAAAAATTAACCTCATATATTGTGTACTTAGCGCAAATAAATTACACCCAATATTGTGTACTTAGCGAAAATTAATTACTGTTAAAACAATGTTAATGTAAAAATAGGTTGTGGCTATGTAAAATTAAGTAATCACTAAAAAAATTTTATTCAAAGCAACCACTAAAAAAGTTTTATTCGAAAAATTTTTATTTTTAAAATAAGTTGTTTTTAGAACCACCCTAATATATATATATATATATATATATATATATATATATATATATATATATATATATATATATATATATATATATATATATATATATATATATATATATATATATATATATATATATACACATACACATACACATACACACACACACACACTGCTTATGAAAGATTCTTTCAATATAAGTGCTTTTCTCACCTGACTTGTTGTTGCTGCAGCAATGCAATCTATACAAAGAATATTATTATATTTCTTATATATTTTATTCTTAGTTAAGTTTTTTTTAAACATATTTGACTAAAAATACAAATTAACAATCTTGTTCAATGCATGGAACATTTGTATATTACAACATTTATTTTTCTAGCTTAAGTAATAGCATTTTCAATTCGATTAAAGTTAATAATAATTAAAGTAATAATTTTTTTTTTAGGTTTGGCGCAATGTTTTGAGATATGCAGCCAGCTGCGTGGCAACTGTGAGGAGAGACAAGTAAAAAATGCTATCATTGGACTTCAACATAACCTTGGATTGGGTGGTGCATGTGTTGTTGCTCTATACAAAAAATTAATTCCTTTGCAACAGTAAGGGTTCTTATATTTTAATAGTAAATAAAAATAATGATAAAAAAAATTGTATAAATATTTATACTTATAATTATTTTAAAATTTTAAAATGTTAATGAACATATTTACGATGATTCCGATGATAATAATGATTTTTCTTAAAATCTTCATTATTATGATGGCTGTTTATGTTTATGTTTATTAAATTTAAATTTGTTTGAATTTTTTGTTAAAGAGTTATCTCAGAAGAATCATCAGTTGAAAGCACGTTTAAATCAGATGTTATATTTAAAGAAATTGAAAAAAGATTTAGCTGCGTATGTTTTCGTTTAAATGAAATTTTTTTATTTTTTTAAAATTTTTAGTTTTATAAAAATAAATATAGGGTATGAAAGTTATATCATTTATTATTTTATCTATTTAGCGTTATAAAAGTTATAAAAAATCCATCGATTGTCTTTACAAATGATTGCGGGATTTAAATTAAGTTTAATTGAGTTTTTTTAAATTTAATTTTTTCATAAATTGCTAAATTCTAATGATTTTTTAATGATGCATTCATAAGATGTTAATTGTGCATGGGTGGAGTTTTTTATCTGAATACTTATTGCAACATGTGTAAAAAGTCTGAAAATGAAAAAAATCATTTAAATTTTAACCAATTATAGTAGTATAAACTTTTACTAATATTAATAGAAAAAGTTATTTCTAAAATCTCCCCAAAATAATTATTGCATATCTAATGCAATATTGCTTATCTAATTGCAATCATTCTTTAAGAAAAAATTTCAGACTATAAAAATTTCTTTTTTGGTAATTCCAAGTCAAATGAGCCAGAAATTTTTTAAAATGTCCTCTTGTTAAAGTCATTTTTGTTTTCTTAAAATAAGAAAATATTTTTTTGAGAAAATAAGTAAGGCATGGCCCCTGGTGCCTGGCCTAATGGATCCTCTAGTAGTCTGCCATGGAAACAATTTTAACACATTTTCTTCAGAACTACACAAATCCTTTTTTTTTTTTTTTTGATTTTATCAAGGCCACTTGAGTATCTTGGGGATTAATAACAGGTATATAAAAAATTGCCTAAATTTATTTAAATTGATGAATACAAGTACTTTTAACAATTTTATTTATTCAAAAAATTAACACTTTTAAAGTTAAAACTTTTAAAATTAAAACTTTTAACAATTTTATTTATTCAAAAAATAACAATTTTTTATACTTCTGATCGTTTTATTGGATGCATCACTCCTAAAAATAGCCAGGTACAAAGTTTGAAGTAAAAAGATCTAATATTTTTAAAGTAATGTGACTTGAAACCTCTAAATAAACTTTGCAATTCTGAGGGAAAATGAAGGGGCCGGCCTATATCTGCTAAAAGTAAAATGGTTTTATTTTAGGATTTTCTTGGAGTTAAAGGTTAAAATTTTTAAGAAATTCTTTTTTTTTTTTAATACTCTTAACTGAATAAAAATCAGCAAAATCTGAGATATGGTGACATGGTATGGGTCAATTAACATAGAGTTACCCTTTTACTGCTGTAAAAACAGACATACTTTGAAGTATTTTATGGTTAAAATTAGTTCATGTACTTTGTACGTTTGATTCTTTTAATAAAAATGCTTTGCTGGACTTGTTGCAATAATGTTCTCTATGCAAGGAAAATTATTTGAATTCTTATATATTTTATTCTTAAATTTTTTTACATATCGTCAGATCATTTCACAATTGCCTAAGTTATTCTTTCTTTTTTTTTTTATTTTGATTCACCTCCTCAAGGCGGAGAAGGCCACTACAGACGAGGAGGCTACTTATTTGTGGCTATAACCCTCTCTCAACTCTTTAACTCCGAAACACAAACCTTGACGAACAAGGCCGCTGCGCGGAGAAACGAGTTGAGCGCGGTACTACCAGGGACGTGGTGGGGATCGAACTCAGAACCACTCGTTTATGAAGCGAGCGCTCTACCACTACACCACTACAGCATAAATGAAGGTTATGAGAAATTAATAAAAAACTTTTAAAAAAGTTGCTATTTTTTCTCTTGCATCACAATAAAACAAATAAAAATAACTTGTTTAAAATAATATTTTGAAACATTTAGAAATAATTTTTTTTTTATTTTTTGACATTATTTGATTTGAAATACAAACTAATAATCTTGTTCAAAGCAATTGAGTTCTGTGAGATGTTTGAAAAACTGGTGGATCTATGTGTACACTTAGTTGTCAAGTTCATCTTCCTTACCATTTAAGAAAGCAATTTTTTGTAACATTTCATTTAAAGATTGGACAGATTAAACTGATTAATCTACAAATGTCTCATTTGTAGTATGGTATCAAGAAATTTAAGTTAAGAGATTGCATCATTATGTCAAGGGAATTTTCTTGTATTAAAAGTTTAAACTCATTCTGCATTGATTACTTTTATTGATTTGAAAGTTTGTTTGATATCTATATATCTGTCTATTTTTTCAAGAATAAAAAGAAAGACTCTGTAAATCTGTAAAAATCTTTTTTACTGATTTACAGAGTCTTTCTTTGTTATTTGTTGCTTATTATTATTAAACATTCTATTTTAATTTTTGGAGAATTGCTGCTACATGTAGTAATAAAACCTTCATCTAAACAAAAATTTTGTCTTCACTGATACACTATTTAATATTAAAAAAATCATGATTTGCCTGAAAATGAAGTTTATGAGGTCTTAGAGAATAATTTTTATGAGAAATTTGCAAAAAGATCTTGGTTTCTTCAATAATGACGAAAGTGGCGATCAGCTTGTTATATCAGCAATAAGTGGCGATCAGCTTGTTATATCAGCAATAAGTGGCGATCAGCTTGTTATATCAGCAATAAGTGGCGATGATCAGCTTGTTATATCAGCAATAAGTGGCGATGATCAGCTTGTTATATCAGCAATAAGTGGCGATGATCAGCTTGTTATATCAGCAATAAGTGGCGATGATCAGCTTGTTATATCAGCAATAAGTGGCGATGATCAGCTTGTTATATCAGCAATAAGTGGCGATGATCAGCTTGTTATATCAGAAGTTATAAAATGTACCGTTTATATTCAAACCAAGTGTATATTACGCCTTCAAACATAAGATAAAGCTAAAGTTTAATGGTACATACATCAATAACTATGTAAACATTGTTTTTTGAATTTGATATTTACAATATTTTTATTTTTGCAGGTGAAAAAAATAGCTCATTGTAAAAGAGAAAACCTTTATAATAACCTGTAAAAATTAAAATAAAGAAATTTAATTTTAAACAAAAGAAAATTGTGCTCATCTTCTGTTAAAATAAGCAGCTTTTAAAAAAAACAACTCAAAAAAATCGTTGTTTTTCTGTTTTTCATTATCAAGGTAGTAAACATTGCAATAATCATTATAATAGATATTGTTGACATAATAAAAAATTTAGATTTTAAAAAACTAAATTTTTTTTTCAATTATCAGCAAAAAACTTTCTATTAAAATTGCATTAAAAAGACATTGAAAAGAAAGCATTGACATTCCGCTTGAGCTAAGATTTCTTATTCTTTTATTTTTTTTTTCTTTTGATTTCTCCATTAAGTCATAAAACATTAAAATTGCTTGACTTACATAAATGGTTTTGTACAAAAAGTGTTTTAAAAAAAAGGTGTATGCAGATTTAAAAAGAGGTGTTTTAAAAAAAAAGATGCAGATTGTGATGTAATTGTAATTATTGTTTAATAATACATGAAACAGCATTATGATAACATTGCAGGTGTTCTTTTTGAAATCAAATACAGGAAACCGCTGAATGCTATTTGCCATTTATGCTATTTAAAACAGTTCATTTTATTCCATTTTTTCTTCTATTCATCCACCATTTTCCTCTTCACCCAAATTAACAAGATTTTGCACTAGTCAACAGGCCTTGGTCAACTTTATTAAATTATAGCTCACTCATAACATTTACTTTTCAGGAAGCAGATTCAATGAAAAAAGAGTTTAATGCCGTGTATTGTTTTGAACTTCAAAAAGGAGAAAATGTTGGTGTTTGGTTAATTGACCTTAAAACAGCTGCAGTAATCTATAGAGGAAAAAGTTGTGGTAAGTTTCGGAGTTTTTTTTATTTTTATTTGTTTTTGTTACAAAGTTAATAAATATTAACAGCAGTATAATTTGCAGCAAATTACAACAAAATTTAAAAAAAAAAAAATTTTTAAACATAATTCACAACAGTATAAGTTACAACAGCATCACATTTTTTAAGTTGTATTTGTTTATCAAACAATTTTTCATTTATCATTTTTGTAGTTTTTTATGTGGCATTTTTGTTGATATTTTATCTTTAATTAGTTTTTAACATTTTTGTGTGTGTGTAACATTGTTGTGTGTGTGTGACCACTTGTGTGAGAATAATTATTTTAACTGTTGTATGTGTCTAACCATTAGTGTGATAATAATTATTTAGTTTTATTTAGAACTAAAAGCTGATTGTACGATTAAAATGACAGATGAAGACTGTTTCAAAATGATGATAGGACAACTTAATCCTCAAACTGTAATTTAGTTTTTTTTTCATATATAACTTAGTCTGAGTGAAGAAATGAAAAATTATTAGTAGAAATTATTTTCAATACAATATATAATTTTTTTTATTAATTATAGTTATATTTTTAAAAATTTTAAACCTTTTGTGTTTATTTAGGCTTTTCTTCAAGGAAAAGTGAAAATTTCAGGTAACATGGCATTGGCAATGAAACTTCAAAAGCTTCAAGTTAAAAATCTGAAATCAAATTTATAAATTTGATAAATTTGACTATTGTTTATAATAATCATGATTAAATTTTTTTTTAATTTTTTAAAATGCTTATTTATTTTATTTTATTTTTTAATTTAACGTATAGAAAGGTTTAATGCAAACTAGTAATATTTTTTTGTTTATTGTTTTTATTTGTTTTACAATACTTTTAATTTTAACCTCTAATTTAATTTAAGATTTAATAAAAGATAGAAAATTTTGAAAACAAAGACAATATATAAAAAAGAAAAGAGAAAGTTAAGATGGTGTTTTTTTTATTATTTTAATTTATTTTTTAAAGAATTTTCAAAATGTTTTGTCATGATAGTAAGTAGTAAAACATGTGTTATTTTCACCTATTTCAAAACGTGTGTTATTTTCACCTATTTCAAAACGTGTGTTATTTTCACCTATTTCAAACGTTGAATGTAAAAACTTGTTTGATAATTTTAAACACAATCTTCTCTTTCATACGGCACAATGTCTCTTATGGAGGAGGAAAGAGAAATCTGTAACACTCTAATGCTTTACAAGTATAAGTTTTTCAGACACATACTAAACACTACACGCTAAGCTTTTCTCCCCACACTACACAATAAGCCTTAATTTTTTGTTTGTTACCAAATATAATAAAATCTAATAAATATATAAATATAATAAAATAATAAAAATATAAATAATAAAATTGTTTAAATTATGTTTTTGATAAGCTTAAAACAAAAAGTTTAAAAATAACATGTTTAAAAGTTTTATTATAAATTATATATTACTCAATGACAAAATTTATTTTATTTAAAAAGCTCAAATAATTACAACATTCTTTTCACTGGGCCTGAGTAGTTTCCAGACATCATCACCAGCAATACCAGGCCTTGGCATTTATCTTAAAAACTGACTGTGGGGTTAATACATAAGATGGTTTTACAATTGTAAGTTGTTGTTTTTTTTATATGTTAATTATTTGATAAAAAATTTATTAAGCATTTTAAGTTGTTGCTTGTTTATTATTGTTGTTTAAAACTTATTTTTTGCTATTGTTTTTATTATTGTCTATGTTATCATTTTTATTACTATAATTTATTAGAATATAATTTAGTTTGAAAAACTTATGATTTTTCACCGCAAAATAAAACTCTTTTTAATACACCTCAAAACAAAACTATTTTTATGATGTTTTAGAGTCGGAGATGTCTCAGAAGAGTCAACCATTGAAAGCTCGTTTCAATCAGATGTTATATTTAAAGAAATTGAAAAAAGATTCACTGGTGTATGTTATTTTGTATACTTCACTAGAAATCATACAACTGGTTTTTTGATTATAAACTCTTTTTTTATTGTTTTTTTTTGGAGGAAGGAGAGTCGATGAAAAAAGAATTTAATGCTGTGTATTGCTTTGAACTTCGAAAAGGTGATGAAGTTGGTATTTGGACAATAGACGTTAAAACAGCAGCTGTTATCTATAGAGGAAAAGATTGTGGTATGATAAAAACCTTTGCAAATATTTTGTATACAAATTATGATATTTTTCTGAACGGTTTTTTTTAACTTTGTTAATTATTAAAAAAGAGTTGTAAGTAAATTTATAAAAAATTTTTTAATTTTCATCTATTTTTATCTATATTTTGATCTATTTTTCAACAGATATGCATGTTTTAAAAAATATTTTTCCTATGTGATTCTAATGTTGCTATCAAGCGTCAAATTCTTATCAATTATATTAATTAGGATTTGACTTATATATATAATATCTATATATAGTGCCCATTATAATACTATAATGGGCACTGCTCTAAAGAGTTAGCGTCTCTTGTGCCATCTACTAAAATTCATTCTCATGTTACTCGTCATTCAATAAGTCTTATCTTTTTTTCTATGACTGTTCCTAAATGCTCCAAAAACTCTTATTCCTCTAGTTTTTTTCCTCGAACATCAACTCTTTGGAATTCGCTTTCTTCATCTTGCTTTCCTGATTCATATAATTTGCAATCTTTTAAGTCGTTATCTTGCTTTACAATCTTCATCTTTTCTCTTCCAGTAACTTCCGACTCTAATAGTGGTTGTTTGTATTAAATAAAATTCATTTATAGCAAAAAATAGTATATTTATAAATTTTTTATTTAATGCAATTTTTTTTTTAATAAAAGTTTGTTAAGGCAAGGAGCTGAAGTTAAGAGAAGGAGCCTGGGTCAAAGATTTTTGAATTAGAAAAGTTTAAAATAAGACTAGAATATTTTTGAATTAGAAAAGGTTAAAATAAGACTAGAATAACTTATTGGTTTTTAAAAAAAAAAACAATAAGTTTTAATGATTAGCATTTGAATTGTTGAAGAAATCGAGCTTATTTTTATTCAAATTTATTTATCACTGATTATAACAATATTGCTGTCATAACAACATTTAAAAAAAAAAATACCCATAGAGATTTAATTTAAACACAAGCAGATAACAATAATGATAAAGATGTAATAAATAAATAAGTTAAAAATGTAATAAATATATAAGTTATAAAGTTTTTTTTTTTTACATTGTAAAAGCGGGTAACCGTTTTTACTCCAGTTTTTTTTATTATAAAAGCAAATTTTTACTATTGCTTTGCAAATTTAGTGTAATGTACTGAATTTATATACTGGAATTAGATCTGTAAACTAAAGAAAGCAAAAAAAGTCTAAATTCCGTTAGTTAAGCAAATAGACAGTTACTCAGCTCATCTTACAGAGTTCACACGAAAGTCAAAAGTAAATAAATAGAATATGTTGTTAAAAAAATATAGTTAGACTATAAAAAAACTACTCATGAAATGATTAAATATAATATACATCAAACACAACATAAAAAAACTCAGAAGTTTTGATTTACAAAATTTTAATTACATATGAAAAACGCTCAAAGTCACAAAATTAAATTTATTGAGTTAATTCCATTTCCACTGTCTATACAAGGAAATCTATTATTATTTTAAATATTAAGGTTAGTTTCCACTCATCCGTTTAATTACGGGAAAAAGAAAGAAATAGGAAAAATAATCACATAAGCATGCGCAGTTTGTAATTTAATTTTCCTGCAGCTTAATTTTTCCCATCATGTCTGTCAAGGGAAAAGTTGATTTCAAATCAACTGCCTTGCTTTAAATTTCAAGAATTAAAAACAAAGTTGGTAAGTTTCCAAAAATTTTTCCATTTTTGTAATTTTTTCATAAACATTACTTTTCTATAATTATGTTTGTAATTATATCAAAGTTATTTATGCATAAATTTTTAATAGCTTACTTTGATGCAAAATGAAAATCATTGCGATATTTATTTACTTACAATTGCAATTTTATATCAATTTTACTGCTATTTTGAATTGTATAAATATTCGAATAATATGTTAACATATTAAACTTTCAAGTGACCTGTCCGATTCCCAACATTGATTATTGAAAATTTAATTTAATGATTTAAATGTTGATTTTCAAAGAATACAAAGTTTTTCCACAAGCAAGAACTTGGAAGCTCATTTGATAGAAAAAGTGAGAAGGTTTCCGCATCTATGGGATACTACAACTCGCTCATATAAAGAAACACCTTTGAAAGTTGAACCATGGAAGTAGATATATCTGCTTTATTAAAAGTAGAAGGTAGCTTTTTATTTTGCCAAGTAAATTTAAACAACAATATGTAATACAAAACTTCTTTTATATTTATAACAATAAAAAAGGCAATCAATGACAATTCATTATAGAACCAAAATAATAATTGTTCATTTTATTATTATCAAGCATTTACATGAATAGTTTAAATACACTGACAAAAGAGACACAGCCAAAAGACAAAATTAGGAAATAATAACAGAACAACTTGTGTAATAGTTATAAAACTAATGCAACACTAAATAATTGAAAAACATTCATGACATATCAAAACGATACAAATAACAATACTTTTTTAAATCTTGTAATAAGATAGCATATTATCATTAGTATTATTATTATTATTATATATACATTTTTTTTAAATTTTTTTTTAGTAGAAAAAGTTCTGATTTCAACATAGACAAAGCTAAGAGAAAATTTTTGTAGATGCTTCAACCGCCAAAAAAAGGTACTATGTGTGGAGCTGGTGGAGATCAACCGTCATGTCAAATTCTTTACAGAATTAAAGTTTTTGAAAGATATCGTTGGGGTAAAAGTGACTAGTTTAAAGATAAAATGCGATATTTTTGCAACAGTCTTCAGTTGAAAATATTGCTTTTGAAATATAGACAATACGATTAAAGCATCAAATTCGAGAGATAATTTGACTTAAACAGAAAATGAAATAGTTTTAAGTTCTATTGCATCACCACAAATGATAATTTCATCACCAAATCAAATAAAAAGAAAAATGAAACCTGACCCAGTACAAGTTGCTCTTGAAAAAGCTATAATGATTGATGTGGAGCAAAATAAACTGATGAAAATTAATGATTTTAAATAAACTGATGAAAATTAATGAAAATATTCTGTAAGTTCTTTTCAAAATCTTTCAAAAAAGAAATTCAAAATAGAAAAAAATAAAAGTTATGGAAATCCTCCTTGAATTAGAAAGTGACAATGATTAAAAATGTAAAATCAAATTTTTGATTTTACATTTTTAATCATTGTCACTTTCTAATTCAAGGAGGATTTCCATAACTTATATATATATATATATATATATATATATATATATATATATATATATATATATATATATATATATATATATATATATATATATATATATATATATATATATATATATATATATATATATATATATATATATAAGTTATGGAAATAATATATATATATATATATATATATATATATATATATATATATATATATATATATATATATATATATATATATATATATATACATATATATATATATATATATATATATATATATATATATATATATATATATATATATATATATATATATATATATATATATATATATATATATATATATATATATATTCGTTTGTTATTCTTTTTACAGAATTCGGACTTATTTGAAACATACCAGCTAAATCTATCTGTGAAATTCTATATATCTCAAAGTGAACATTAATTGTTCACTAGCTCCGATTGTTTCGCGTGTTTGAGAGTAGATTTTGTAATCGCTAGTGCAATTAGGCTTAACTAATGTTGATACCTAGTAGGTGACATTCTAAAAAAGTTAAAAAAGTATTCGTGATCAAAAAGCTGCATACCTTTTATAAATACACTTTTGTTTTTCTTTCTCTAAATAATTTTCTGCCCCAACTTTTTTTATACTTTTGTCTTCTTTTGATTTTTAAATAACAAGTATAACGTTTTCCTATTAAGAATCGCCATGTTTATTATTTAAATATCATTATATAAAAACGAAAGTTAAAGTGATGCGCATAAGTGGAAATAAATAAATCCTATCCGTCCTGTACAACTTACTGTTTTAAACCCATCCCTTTCCCTTTCCCGTAGGAAAACGGATGAGTTGAAACTGACCTTTAGACCACTTAAAAAGTTGTTTTTTCCTATAAATAGAAAAAAAAATTCTGTTGATGCCCAACTATGAGTAGCTCAGTTTTTATTCGTTTTTTAAATTCAATTTACTCGTTCTCAGCACGTTTTCCTGATGGACTTTTCATATGTTGATGAAATAAGTATTATAGTAATAATAAATATAAACAAATTATATTATATTGTAATAGTTATTATATATATTATATATTATATATTATATATATATATATATATATATATATATATATATATATATATATATATATATATATATATATATATATATATATATATATATATATATATATATATATGTATATATACATATATATATATATATATATATATATATATATATATATAGTATATATATATATATATATATATATATATATATATATATATATATATATAATAAATAATATTATACTATGATAAATTAATTAATTAGTATTGTGGACCTCACCCAAAAAAACTTTTGGGTGAGGTCCAACATACTAATTAATTAAAAAAAATAATTAAGTAAAAAAAAATGTTGGACCTCACCCAAAAGTCTTTTGGGTGAGGTCCAACATACTTTTTTTTACAAGTTTCTTTTTCGATTTTATTTCCTCTTTCTGGAGGAATCAATCAACAATCAAAATTAATTAATACTGTTTAAATTATATATAAATACAAATAAGTAACTTAATAATAACTTAACAATTATTAGCATAAAAGTTTATATTCTACTGATAATTTTGTCAAAAACCACAATTTTAAATAATTTGAATATAGATCAGATAACAAGAATAATCATTAAGAGAGCTTTTTTAAAAGGACTGCACTACAAAACTTTCCATGTGTTTATCCGCCTGTTTTATTCTCCTCCGGCTAATTGCCATACAGAGGCCACATACCAAAGCCTACATAGACGTGTTCAGCTCACTAAAGAGTATTTTTAGAACGAAGGATATTAGA